CCTTAAAGTTATTACCCCCCCCCCTCCACCCCTCTCATCCTAATTCTATAATTAATGTAGAAGACAGACAGATTCTTCTTTATACAGCTTAAACCTTTACCAAATATTTACATTGGCTTCCTGACCCCATCAGGATTAATTTCAAATAAGAGTATCCCACATAACTCAATAGCTCTACTCATATCAATTTATTTACTAGCTCACATAGGAATTCTTGATTACTTGTGTTGACATCTATTTGCAACTACATCAATAAACCTGACTTACATGACTTCAAGGGCAATACAATCCTATGATATGCTCTACCTTAGCCTTACAGATTTTCCTCTAGTGCCTCATGAAATCCCTCAAAACTCATCGCTCGTCACATAAATAATGGTTCCACAGTTTGTTTCACTTTTTCACCATTTCATTTATACAGCTCACCAAATTTTTTTTTTGTTTTTTGTTTTTAACTAAATAAGTTGTTTTTTTTTTAAACTTATCTATCTTTCCAAAATACCATATGTCTGTTTAGTAATTAAAGTTCAGTTATGCCAATAAAGGAAGGCTAGATTTGTCTTCTGTATAACTAGAGAATGTTGAGGAATGTTCTCACCTGTCCGGAGTGGGATTCAGAGCCTGGTCTGCAGCCAAAACCCCCATCAAAGTTCATGCAGGATAACACAAATTCAATAGCTTTTTCCATGTTAATAGCATCCAGCTTCCCCTACAACAAATAAAATGTGTAAAAAGTAAAGTGGGAAAATGTAAAATTGAAAAGAGAAAAGCTTTTTTTATATGACCAATACAGTTAGCCAAATTATGAGGACCTATTTCTAAAAATAAACCAGGAATCACTAACATTATAGAATGTTTAAAAACAAGCATTTTTGAGAAACAAGCAAAAAAAAAAAGAAAAAAAAGTTTTTATTAATCCGACAAATCAGTTTATGGACATTGTCACTCCTCGTACGTGTACCCTTAATTATACTTTGTATCGTCTAATGTTTCCCTTCTGTTCGGTTACAGAACAGATTCTGTTTCCCCTTTTTCGCAAATCACATTTAGGCTTGATTGGAAGATCGTGCTTATCCCATTGTAAATATATAAAAATGAGGTTTGAGTATTAATCTGTGGATAGGTATTAATGTCTCTTTTGGATAAGATATTGGAACACAAAAGGACTCCTTATCCAAGAGGGAATCAAGACATATGGCAAATGAGAGTTAGTTTATACTAAAACCAGACTTCCAGGCCACTTATGTGTGACTTCTTACACCTTACAGAGTAGCTCTGCTGGGGTCCCAGCTTCAAAGAGGAATTTAGGTTGTAAGCTCTAACCTCCCATACAATCAAATTAACCCCTTTTGAAATTGACAATACCACCTCTACCAGACAGTCAGTTTATATATGCACAAACATAACTTTCGTTTTACTGAACCAATCTGAGCACTTTTTGGATATTTTGTGCGCTCAGATCAGGGCTATTCGGGAATATAATCATTTGTGGGGTTCTGATGCGGTTGTCATGTATTTTTGGAATATGTAAAAATTGTATGCACATTTTCCTGAGAGATAATTGGATTAGCTTAATTGGAGCTCAATTAACTCCCAAACACAATGGCTTGTGGGAAGGAAACCCCTGTGATTTTGTATTGGAAACCACATGATAGGGGCACTGCGTAAGAAGCCAAGTGTGCCCTAATAAAGTTCAGATTGCTGATTTTACCCAATACGACTGGTTGCGTCCATTATATTGGGGAAACTCTACACAAAGGGAATACTTTCACTATATTCAGCACATCTGGATTAAGGACGAGTAGAGGATTGAAGGAATAACAGCAACAGACTCACAAACCCGTGACATACATTTTTATGGCCCTCTTACCTAACCAGCACTTTCCCTCCAAATACAAAATTGCTAATGAAATTAGGAATCGTAGCAAAGAATATTGTATTTCCCCTTACTACCAACTAAAAAACAGTTAACTGAACTAAAAATCTCATGACCCCTCTGTTCTGCCCATAAACCAGCTTTAGAAATGTAAAATTATTAGAGCATCCAAATAAGATTCCAGTTCGGGGGCAGTAGTCACTGCAGGAATTTAAATGCCCAGCGATTTACTGCAAAAGCAGCAGCTTCAAATTGGCTGCTTTTGTAGAATTATCAATGTATTCTATTAGCATCAACAAAATCTATAAAAATAAATAAACCTTACCAACAGTGCCAGTGTTGCCACTGCACAGAAAGAGAAGCGAGTATCAATTTCACCTACAACAAAAAGAAACCGTATGAAACAAGTAAACTTATCTGTATCAAATCTCAAAATAGAAACTAGAAATAGCAGTATAATCAGAGCAAAGTATTCACTTTATCATGTTATAGATATTGGGGATTATATACTCCCTGCACTGAATGGGTACAATGTGATATCACAATAAGCAGCAAAAGATCAGACTTATTAAACACTTCTTCAAAGCACTTAAAAGTACTTTAATGCACAATAAGGAAATACGTGTATGAACATATATGAACATAGGACACAATATAGTGTACTACACTGTAAGGGTTAAACCTAACAACCCACCAGTGGAAATGACATGTCGGCAATAAATCACACCTTTAAACTTGTCTAATTAATGTTTGCATAAACAAATCAATGCTCTGTGCCAGATTTCCTTACTCTTCCATACCACAAGATAACCAAAAAAAGATCTTTTCAGTGTAATTGCTAAAAAAAATATAGGAAATTGTTACCCCATTTGTCTCCAGCAAAAGAGCCATCTTCTTGTTGTAAGCTTTTCACATATTCAACAATTTTAATTGCATCGACCACAGAAAGGCTATCATATAGTGTGAGAATCTGTAGCAAGAAAATATTGCAATTACAACTCTTAAACATCCACAAAGTAGGGCAATACAAATTTAAATCAAGTCGACCAAAAAGTCTCTCTCTACTGAATTCAATTGATTTTTTTTTGTTACTTTTGATTAAAATTTGTAGCATACTAGCATACATAGAATTCTGCCCTTTCCCATCCCATCTTCTTGTGTTTGTCTTCCTGCTTCCTCTCATCTAGTGTCATCATTATTTCATGTCACAGTTTTACATACACTTTGTGCAAGCTTTTTACAAAGAACTGAAATTTCAAACTTATTTTGGTTTTTGAATAAATATATATACAAAGCAGCAGTACCTGTACGGCACTTAGAGTATACAGAAGATGGGGATCATGACCTAAACTGGCGCTAAATCCACCACACTCATGCTGGCACGACTTGATAAAAGCTAGGATTTCTTCTCGGTTCATACGATGCAGCTCTCCCATAAGATCCATAACAGTCAGTCCCCAGTAAACACCGCTCATCCTTAAGTACTCCGACATGCAATATTCCTATAATACAGAAACACTGGTCAGTTTGAAAATCGATTTGTAACACCTGCTGAGAACAGCTATACATATCTGCATGCCTCTATCTTATGGAGGTATACAATTCAGATTTGAATTTGTTAAATGTCAGAGTTTAGTGAATAACTATGTGAGCCACTTTGCTGTTTCAATCTTGGCATTAAATACAAATGGAAAACATCTCATTCTAGAAGTATTCAAGAAATATTTGTGTTTTCCTAAACAATTTCCAAAGCAAATAGTCATACGTACATAATCATCCTTCTTTGCTCCATAGGATTCGATGTACTGGGCGTGCTTCTCAAGGAGGAGGGTTTTTGGTGCATCAGACTTGATAGTAACATCTTTTTGAGGTGTTCCCTATCAGATTTAAAACCAGTGTTACCAAACATACATGTAAATACACTGAAAATAAAAAAAAAATCAGTGAGTGCAATGAATAGATGTCCCATTTCATCAGTGATGCTGAGAAAAAAAAAAGGGGGAAAAAAAAAGTGAAGAAGAAAAAATGAATAAGGCTCACACACAGCCAAGGCTACAAGAAAAGGGTATCAGTGACAAAAGAAAGTTTGGGGGAACAGTGGGTGGCAGGTGAAGGAATGCAGTGAGGCGAGTAAAGTAATATGGGAGCGGAGAGACAAATTATAGCAAAGCACAATAAGTAATGAAAATATTAATATTATTATTATTACAGACTGTTTGGTATACGTGTGTTTCTTATATATTTTTTGTCACATTTGTGCACACATTTGAGAGGTGTGCATGTTCCCACACTTATGGATTAATTAGGATATAATCCACTTTTTTATTTTGTGTGCTGTTCACTTTTTTTTTTTTGCTCTGTTTTATAAATTGGTGGAATGAGTGTGATTGGTTCCACAGTGATAACTAGCTGCACTTTTGGCACCAATTATATAGCACTTTAGCTTTACAGTAATATAACCCTTGTTTGAAGGAGAAGACACCCACAGTCATTTTTTATTTTCAGACCAAGAATGAGAAAAGAAGTAAAATATTGCACAGGACTACATGCAAATCCACTTCAAAAATCAACAAATGTCTAAAAATATGATCAGCTAATAAAAGCAGCTTGTCACTACCTTTTGATCTCTAGTTTATAACCACTTATGAATTTGCCACCAACATAACAGTCCTAGCAGCAGAGAAACCTGACACCTTGACTCCTAAATTGAGGAACAGGATATAGTTATCTTATGATTAAGTATGAGAATGTGCTAAAACAGCTTTTATTAAAGAAAAAACCCAAAAGTATTCTATTTTCTGGGTGAACCAGAGAAACTTTATAAATAAACCCTAGTCATGTTTCCATATCATGTTAGTAGTTCACATTTCTATTGTAACTAAAATGCCTCTTTCTTGCTGCCTCTGTGGACATCACATAGAGACTGAGTGTAATAGAACCAGAACCTGCTGGCTGAGGGTGATTAGAGTTAACAGAGGGCTCAGGGAAGCTGCATTAAGACACACAGTAATCAATGGTCCCCATACAGACTGAGTGTAATAGAACCAGAACCTGCTGGCTGAGGGTGATTAGAGTTATGTAATCAATGGTCCCCACAGAGACTGAGTGTAATAGAACCAGAACATGCTGGCTGAGGGTGATTAGAGTTATGTAATCAATGGTCCCCATAGTGAGTGAGTGAGCTGCTCCCCCCTGTGTGTGCATGCTGTGAGGAGGGAGATAAAGCAGGGGCTCCCAGCAGCTCCATTAACTCTGTTTGTAAACCAGAAGGGTCAGACTGAGCTCACCATGTCTGTGCAGGGCGGATGCCAACTCCCCTCTCCTGCCTGTCTGACAGCGGGGCCTAATTCAGCTGCCCGGCTTCCTGCCTGTCTGACAGCGGGGCCTTATTCAGCTGCCCGGTTTCCTGCCTGTCTGACAGCGGGGCCTAATTCAGCTGCCCGGCTTCCTGCCTGTCTGACAGCGGGGCCTAATTCAGCTGCCCGGCTTCCTGCCTGTCTGACAACGGGGCCTTATTCAGCTGCCCGGCTTCCTGCCTGTGTGACAGCGGGGCCTAATTCAGCTGCCCTGCTTCCTGCCTGTCTGACAGCGGGGCCTTATTCAGCTGCCCGGCTTCCTGCCTGTCTGACAGTGGGTCCTCTTCCAGCTGCCCGGCTTTCTGCCTGTCTTTTTGTAGGACATCTTTGGTTTGAGCTAAATAAGAATTATAATACAGATAATATATCTTATTTTACTGATACCTATTAAACATAGAATGTGACGGCAAATAAGAACCATTCGGCCCATCTAGTCTGCCCAATTTTCTAAATACTTTCATTAGTCGCTGGCCTTATCTTATAGTTAGGATAGCCTTATGCCTATCCCACGCATGCTTAAACTCCTTTACTGTGTTAACCTCTACCACTTCAGCTGGAAGGCTATTCCATGCATCCCCTACCCTCTCAGTAAAGTAATACTTCCTGATATTATTTTTAAACCTTTGTCCCTCCAATTTAAGACTATGTCCTCTTGTTGTGGTAGTTTTTCTTCTTTTAAATATAGTCTCCTCCTTTACTGTGTTGATTCCCTTTATATATTTAAATGTTTCTATCATATCCCCCCTGTCTCGTCTTTCCTCCAAGCTATACATGTTAAGATCCTTTAACCTTTCCTGGTAAGTTTTATCCCGCAATCCATGAACCAGTTTAGTAGCCCTTCTCTGAACCCTCTCTAAGGTATCAATATCCTTCTGAAGATACGGTCTCCAGTACTGTGTACAATACTCCAAGTGAGGTCTCACCAGTGTTCTGTACAATGGCATGAGCACTTCCCTCTTTCTACTGCTAATACCTCTCCCTATACAACCAAGCATTCTGCTAGCATTTCCTGCTGCTCTATTACATTGTCTGCCTACCTTTAAGTCATCAGAAATAATCACCCCTAAATCCCTTTCCTCATATGTTGAGGTTAGAACTCTATCAAATATTCTGTACTCTGCCCTTGGGTTTTTACGCCCAAGATGCATTATCTTGCACTTATCCACATTAAATGTCAGTTGCCACAATTCTGACCATTTTTCTAGTTTACCTAAATCATTTGCCATTTGGCTTATCCCTCCTGGAACATCAACCCTGTTACATATCTTAGTATCATCAGCAAAAGACATACCTTACCATCAAGACCTTCTGCAATATCACTAATAAAAATATTAAAGAGAATGGGTCCAAGTACAGATCCCTGAGGTACCCCACTGGTGACAAGTCCAAGCTTGAATATATTCCATTAACTACAACCCTCTGTTGCCTGTCACTCAGCCACTGCCTTACCCATTCAACAATATTTAATCCAAACTTAAAGATTGCAGTTTATTGATAAGCCTTCTATGTGCAACAGTGTCAAAAGCCTTACTGAAATCTAGGTAAGCAATGTCTACTGCACCACCCTGATCTATCATTTTAGTTACCCAATCAAAAAAATCAATAAGATTAATTTGGCATGATCTCCCTGAAGTAAACCCATGTTGTCTCTGATCTTGAAATCCATGTGTTTTTAGATGTTCATCAATCCTATCCTTTAACATGGTTTCCATCACTTTACCCACTACTGAAGTAAGGCTTACTGGCCTATAGTTGCCCGACTCCTCCCTATTACCTTTCTTGTAAATGGGCACAACATTCGCTAACTTCCAATCTTCTGGGACTACTCCTGTTAACAATGATTAGTTAAATAAATCTGTTAATGGTTTTGCTAGTACACCACTAAGCTCTTTTAATAGCTTTGGGTGTATTCCATCAGGTCCCATTGACTTATTTGTCTTTTACTTTTGACAGTTGAAATAGAACCTCTTCCTCTGTAAACTCACGTGTAATAAATGACTCATTTATCCTTTTTCTCAACTGAGGTCCATTTCCTTCATTTTCTTCTGTAAATACAGAACAAAAATATTCATTGAGGCAGTCGGCCTGACCTTTATCCTCTTCTACATACCTTCCTTCTTTTGTTTTTAATCTAACTAATCCTTGTTTTACTTTTCTTTTCTCATTTATGTATCTAAAAAATGTTTTGTCCCCCTTTTTTACTGACTGTGCTATTTTTCTCTTCTGTGTGTGATTTGGAAGCTCTTATAACTTGCTTAGCCTCTTTCTGCCTAATCTTATAGATCATTTTGTCTTCCTCACTCTGGGTTTTTTTTATAATTCCTAAATGCTAACTTTTTGTTTTTAACTATTTTGGCCACATCTGCGGAGTACCACAGTGGTTTCTTGAATTTTTTGCTTTTACTGACAAGCCTAATGCAATTTTCTGTTGCCTTCAATAGTGCAACTTTTAAATAAAGAAAAAGAGGCACTTCCCAAACTAATGGGAAGTACCAGTCAAAGAGGGTTAAAAGGGTGGCAAAATGGGCATAACCCAGCGTAAAGCACAATAGAGGGAGAAAAGATGAAGGAAATGATCAACCCTCCTTAAGAAAAAGGGGGGGGGTATGATCACCTTCAAGCCACCCCAAAAAAAATAGCGTCTCAAAAATAAAAATAATAAACAACTTTAATAGGAAAAAAGTACAAAATAAAATAAATGGATATAAAGGGTCTAGTGTCTGAGGATTGTAACCAGACTCACATAGATCAGTATATATACATTGTATCGAACTCACTCATAAAAGAGTGGTAAATATATAAAGTGACTAATATCTTGTACTAGACCCCACAGGATAAACACTAATATATGGAAATCGAAAGGATAGAGAAGGTAAATAAGTGAGAGTGAAAAATAAAGTGGAAATAACCTAACAAAGGTATAGTACAATAGCTTGAAAAGGTTATATCTAACCACCAAGTAACTCACTGGAATCTATCCCTATAACAGCAAATATTCAGAGCAAAAAGCAGCTCAAAAAACGGTGTGGCATCCTGGTATCCAAAAAATAATAATAAAAAATAAATGGATATAAAGGGTCTAGTGTCTAAAGAGTATAGCCAAGCTCACATAGATCAGTATATATACTTTGTAACAAACTCACTCATAGCAGAGCGGTAAATTTATAAAGTGACTAATATCTAGCACTAGATCCCACAAGGTAAACACTGATGTATGGAAATCAAAAGGATAGAGAAGGTAAATAAGTGAGAGTGAAAAATAAAGTGGAAATTACCTAACAAAGGTATGGTACAGCAGATAGAAAAGGTAATGTATAACCACTAAGTAACTCACTAAACTCTATCACTATAACAAAGTATCAACAAAAGATCAGTGTAACATCAGTGTAACATAATTTGTAACAAACTCACTCATAGCAGAGCGGTAAATTTATAAAGTGACTAATATCTAGCACTAGATCCCACAAGGTAAACACTGATGTATGGAAATCGAAAGGATAGAGAAGGTAAATAAGTGAGAGTGAAAAATAAAGTGGAAATTACCTAACAAAGGTATGGTACAGCAGATTGGAAAGGTAATGTCTAACCACTAAGTAACTCACTAAACTCTATCACTATAACAAAGTATCAACAAAAGATCAGTGTAACATCTTGGTATCCATAAAGAAAAAACCTCAAATAGGTCTGAGTAGAAACAAAGAGCAGCCCAACGCGCGTTTCGGCGGACTAACCGCCTTTTTCAAGGGCAATCAAAAAGTGAAAAAATAAATAAACCGCAGATACAGTTCCCCCCCCGCCACTATTTAAATGTCTTTCCATACCTCCTCCTTATTGTGATTGGTGGAATCGCCGTGCTAATTAGCAAACAAAAACGCGCATGTCCGAAGAAAGACATGCGCAAGTGCATCCGATATGTCTTGTTTACGAGGTTGCGCATGTCCGAAAAAAGTAACGGAGATGAGTGCGCATGTCCGCCCACCGGCGGACACGCATGCGCTGAAGATTCCTGTCTACCCGAGAAAACTCCTAGATCATGCGCATGTCCGCAGCCTAATTGCCGCGCAGGCGCAAAGTATCAGAGTACAAAGTAAACTAAATCTATACAGATTGCTCGGTAAAGGAAAATATATATCCATAATAGATAATAGCTAAAGCGATAGAATATGTGGAGGAATAAAAGAAATGTTATTCTGAGAGATAAGGTAAAGCGGAGGGCAAATTAGGAACAAAAAATAAATCCACAAAGATGGTTGGACTTATCCAACCCAATCCATATTAGTTTTATATTTTTCTAGTTCATATATTGCCTTTTTCTAGTTCATTTATATGTAAGGGCTTCTAAACTATATATGTATAGGGCTCTACATATATATACACATCTGGACATGTTCTCTCTCTCTATATGTAAATATGTAAATAATTTTGATACACTAAGATAGAGCTAACTACATTTTTTGGTGTCTCCAATTTAGTACATATATGTATATATGTTTATACATCTCACTACTTTATCTTTTTATACATACATACCTTTTGACCATTTCCAGCCGGTGTGGAATGTTCTATATTTCGCTATCTAGTCTCTTTGATTATAAATATAAAACTAATATGGATTGGGTTGGATAAGTCGCGTTTTTGTTTGCTAATTAGCACGGCGATTCCACCAATCACAATAAGGAGGAGGTATGGAAAGACATTTAAATAGTGGCGGGGGGGGAACTGTATCTGCGGTTTATTTTTTCACTTTTTGATTGCCCTTGAAAAAGGCGGTTAGTCCGCCGAAACGCGCGTTGGGCTGCTCTTTGTTTCTACTCAGACCTATTTGAGGTTTTTTCTTTATGGATACCAAGATGTTACACTGATCTTTTGTTGATACTTTGTTATAGTGATAGAGTTTAGTGAGTTACTTAGTGGTTAGACATTACCTTTCCAATCTGCTGTACCATACCTTAGTTAGGTAATTTCCACTTTATTTTTCACTCTCACTTATTTACCTTCTCTATCCTTTCGATTTCCATACATCAGTGTTTACCTTGTGGGATCTAGTGCTAGATATTAGTCACTTTATAAATTTACCGCTCTGCTATGAGTGAGTTTGTTACAAATTATGTTACACTGATGTTACACTGATCTTTTGTTGATACTTTGTTATAGTGATAGAGTTTAGTGAGTTACTTAGTGGGTATACATTACCTTTTCAATCTGCTGTACCATACCTTTGTTAGGTAATTTCCACTTTATTTTTCACTCTCACTTATTTACCTTCTCTATCCTTTCGATTTCCATACATCAGTGTTTATC